CTTGTCATAGGTTTCTCCACTACGACTTCACAGAGACAGGAAGAAGTTGTATGCTCCACAAAAAAATACCTGCCCGCTATGTTACTGCTGAGTAACATAATGCTTTGTAATGGGAAATTAAAGTTTCTAGATTTCATTTCTTTGGATGCAATAGGTCATAATTTTGTACTTTTCAATGTACCTTTCAAAGAAAAATTAAATCTTTTGTGCAGGACACAATTTTGTAGGAAATATAGTACCTGAAGAATGCTTATCATCTGGACCATAACAACAATGACAAAATCCTAGTGGACCAAAGATTCAATTACAATTAAGCTACTAATTAAAATAATTCCTTTAAAGAATTCTTTATAGCTATTCTAAAGTTTCAGTTCTAAACAGAAACTAACCTCAAGACCTCAATTTCCAAAGTATTTACAAAATATTTTCAATTAAATTTATGTTTGCAGAAGTAGGCTATATTTTGCACATCCCACAGAAGAAACAGGAGGCATGATGCAAGGAGAGAAGACTTTCCGAAAGCTGGATCTAGAATCATCTACAAGTCACTGGGACATTTGATTAGACTGTATGTATGCTGTCTTTCTTTCCAAGGTCTACACTTTGTACTTTTTGAGTCCCTTTAGGAAATTTAATTTTTTAATTTTTTTTTAAATCAGTCCTTTGCATCTTTCATCTGAGTGGTCTTGTTGGCTGCAGACTGAGATTAGCTCTGCTTCAGCTTGCTACTTCTTGTTTCTTTGCCATCCTTCCTATGTGTAGTGGTCATGAGATGTACATTTCAGAAAAACTGAGGACTTCTGATGATAATACTGGGTATCATCCTTCAGAACAAAAATACTCTACAGAAGAACAAATGGATTTGGATAGCAGCATTAGACTAATACACCAACTCTCAAACAACAGTTATGGCTGATGCTTCCAAATTTTGCTTTTCTTTTTCCTGTAAAACTGCACATTTTCCTCCCATTTTACAAGAACAGTATCTGCCTCTGTTCCAGTTCACAGGCTGAAAATGATTCAATAAATGTCATTAGACTGCCATTCTGTTTAACACTTTGGGATATAGGAACAGAGGCATTGCCAGCAATGACCTCTGGCAGCCCTTCAGATCCACTTGGAGAGCCTCGCCTGGAATACACTACTCATTCCTCCACACCAGACCTCCAGAAGGGTAAGGTCTAATCGCAGAAAGTCTGGCAGCAGAAACTGGGAATCATCGTAATTATAAGTAAACCTTAACTATGGAGAAAGGCAAAAATCACTGATCTTGTTTAGCCTGAAGAAAGCAGCCTGTAAGGAGGCATAGCAATTGTCTTCAAGAGCAGAAAAAGCTTTTTCAAAGGAGGAAGGGATTGATCTGTTATTGTCTGTGGTGAATAAGAATGAACTTAAATTGTAAACAGACATATAAGGATTTGGAAAATCACTTTTTAATAGTAAACGTCTTTCTACCCAAGGTACCAAGATTGCCTGAGGATGCCATCAAATTCATGTTACTAGAGGTCTTTACATGCAAATTTAGGAGGGATACCATTGAGTCTCTGTTATGTGGCAGAATGAAAAATGGATTCTGTGGGTCCTTTTTCCCCCTGATCTTCTATAATTTTAGAATACTTTCTCAGAGCACCTCCATTTTTCACTCTGTTGCCTGTGTGGCAAAATACATTATTGATATGCTTTGGAAAATTTAATATACTGTGCTTGTTAAGATTGACAGGACTGATAATAGCTGTGGTACATTAGCCTCGCAACTGATGGCACAGATCAAGAATAGGAAAGAAACAAACTGAAAGGATCCGGGGACAATGACTTCTTTGGAGGCAAAGAAGCAAAAAAGCATAGCTTTGCTGGGTAGAAAGTCACTTACTTTTCATATTCTCACTTTTTAAAGTAAAATGAAGAATGTGAAGGAATCTGCAATAAAGTGGAAGCTAAAATGAAGTTTGCTTCCATGTGGTCAATAAGGACAGATGCCACTGATGGAGTGGAGTAACTGGCAGCCTTCCTTTCTGGACTAGGAAATCATCTCTGCAGTGCAAACTGGAATGTGGGAAATGTGTAAGCTTCTCCAGCTTGAAGTTTCTATACAAAAGTTTCACATATCCCCAGCTGGGAACTGGGAAGTAGCTTGCATATCTGAATGCCATCATGGTAATGAAGTACACTGTTGCCAAGCCATGTAGCCGGCCACTTTTGTCCATTAGGAAATAAGCTTACATGATGACTTCCAGTAAATCCCATTCAGTCAATGGAGCATTTAAAACCTGTAGATCAGAAATTAAATTCTTGCAAAGGAAGGAGAAGGAGAGAGTAAAGGAAAAGTGGGGCATCCTTTCTGAGTTTAAAGGAAGAGTTAAGACACTATTAGTCTTTCCAGTGGGAAAAAAGAAAAAACAAGGAAGGACAAATGTAACTCTTAGGTTCTTACAACTGTTATTGACAACTTCTCAGCCAGCAGCTGTCTAAGGGGTCCCAGCCTGGACATACTGCCTGCTACCTGGCTTTCTGGTGAAAAAATTTAGTCCTATTGGACTCTGAAACTTCTTCTCTAGCTCTTGTGCACATTCCTGTGCTATTTCCATTGAGGCATAGATGGACCTGCACTCCATTGCAAGATGTCCTGGGAGCTAGCACCTACAACTGCTAATGTGCCTCTGAAGAACCATCTGCCAATACCTGCACTATATCAGTAAGGTAAGGAGATACTAATGGAAATTATCTAAAAATAGCTAGCAAAAGAAGTTATCAAAAGGCAGTAAATATGGCCTCAAGTGTGTGAAAGCTTCCTTAGAGTGACTATACTGCCTAATGACTTTTAGAAAACAATGTGATCCAGGAGGGCTAAAAGCAGACACAGGCCTTTGAAGAGAAAATTAATTACAGGAATGTATCATTTATGTGTCAGTTAAATTCCTCTCTTTCATCAAATCCCTTAAAAAAAATGAGGAGTAAAATCTCATGCCTCTGTGTGGTGCTGTCACATTGTACATTTTACAGACTTATGTAAACACAAGTCCCTTCTTATTATAAAGGCTTATCTTAAAAATCCAAACTTCTGTATGGTAACATTGGCTGCATTTTGACTAGTCAGTTCTGACTACTGATCAAGCACTGAAAGAATAATTTGCCTTAATTCATTACTATGTTTCCAGCTGTGATTTTTATATACCAAATCATGGTAGGCACTAGATAGTTGAAGAAGGAGAGACAGATTGTCTGAACGAACTTATCTTCTCAAATTCAAAGTTTCAGATTTCATTGTTTTTGCAATTTCATAATTTCAATCAAATTGCCATTGATTAGCTAGATTATTTCTTAGCAAGATGCCTATAAAATGCGTTTTAATTTACATGTTAAGTCAACTGCGATTAAAAACAATGAAAATTATAAATTTTTGTTCTCTACCATGGGTAAAATGATTTGGCAATCTCAGTTCATAATAGATAAAACTTATAATCACAAAAATTTCCATCAGCAAAACTGATTTTTTTGGCAATTCCAGTGAAAACAATCAAGACTTGAATGAGCTTTGTTGCATAAGCTTGTCTAACCCTCTATTTCACAGCTCTGGTTCTCTGCATATGAGGGCTGTGATATTTTCTTAGCGCCATAGTAAGAAGATCCTCATTCACCCCTGTTTTAACACCTAGTAGGTGATTTAACACCTAATAGGTGTTTTAATAACTAATAGGACATTCACATGTTTGACATCATATTGCAACAGGGTACAAAAAGACTGGGTGTTTTTTTAGCATATATAGATTTTCCAAGAAAGGAAAAAATATTCTTTGAATACAGATATGTGGGTAGAAGAGATATGAATGGCAGTGCAGTAACCTTTAAGCAGACATTTATGAAAGGAAAAGGTAGAAGGGAGTATTGAGAGTACATAAGGAACAACAATACTTTTTTAATTAGAACACCATCAAACATGTTTTGAGAAATTATTTGTTTCCAAAGGTACTAATTAAAATTACAAAAAAAAAAAAAAATCTAGCAGCTTTTACAATAAAACTAATCTTGCACTTCTGAGTTGTCTTTCCCTATGTGTGCCTTAGCAGGCTGCATTACTGTGAATGAATTAAGTCTTGAAGCCCCTACAAAATCAGATAAGAAAATGTTATTCTCGTTTACAGAAGAGGAAGGAGATGTAAAGAAAGCAGGTAAAGCTATGCACTCAATTAACAGTAGCACAACTGATATAGGCTCCTGCTTCAACATTTTTCTTCTGTGTCCATAGACAGCTCTACCTGTCAGGGGAACATTCAGGGACAGGAGACATGTCAGCAGCAATAATGTCAGGACAAGAGTCTGCATGGATTAGTGGATAGTTTGGGAGATAACAGCATCCCCAAAGAGAGAAAAGTCTATAGCAGAGAATAAGTTTAAAGGAAAAGAGACAGCTTTGAAGATGAATTCTGGAGAAGAAAATGAAGAGTGAGGGAAATCTAACAACATGAAAATAGACAGCGCAATGCACAACAGAAACTGCTGAAAGGGAGGAAGGGGCAGTGGTAGGTACTTGCCGACAGAGAAGGATCTAGTAGAATAAGTTACGAGATGGGCAGAGAAGCAACACAGGTGTAAGAGAAAAATAAGAAACAGAATAAAAAAATCTTACATTAGGGAGGAGAGAGAAAGCAGAGATTATCAGAGGGATGACAGGAAGGGCTAGGAAATATATCTGTGAAATAGTGAATTGTCAGTGTAAGGCATATCCTGAAAAACCTCTGAACTCTGAATTTTATAATTTAAGAATACTCATACAATGTTACAATCAAAACATTCTAAGCAGTCAAACCATTCCTCATTGTTTCCAGGATGGGGTCCACTAAGGTCAGCTTTTGTTGCAAAGCTAGTTTTTCTGCTTAGTGTTGCACATGAAGACAAACAGACTGCAGGGAGATTTAAAAGTTGAAACCAATGAGTCTGGGCAGCTAGCCATTGCTTTGTGCCACATTTGTGTCTGCTTTACGCAAAATAAAAGTTTCACTTACGTTTCTGGCACTTTCTTCTTCGAAAGAAAATACAAGGCAGCAGCTGTAATTTTAATCAACAAGAAACCAATACCAAACCCAATCCAAATATCTGCAAAATTAGAGCAAAGACAGAAATAAGTAAAACAAAACACTCAAAGAATGAATTGAAAAATATTTCTTTCTTTTTACAGACCCACCATTTTGTAGGAGAGTTGGAGGCTGAGGAGGCTTAGCACTTATGTGGCAACGGTTTCCTTCCCATTCTTTTCCACATCTGTGAATAAAAGAAGAATTTTTGAAAAAGGGAGAAGCAGGAATGATTAGCAGGGATGAGCACACAGGAAATGCAAACCTTTTAATACTTTTTCCAGGGAGACTAAAGCTTATCCAGGAATCATAAAGAGCAGCACCCAAGTCGATATAATGGAATGTAAGTGGTAAATACACAAAACAAACTTAGGAGAGAGAAAAATAAAATAAAATTAAGTTCAAAGCTTAGAATTGGCTTCCTTGCCCATAATATCACTCTACTGTTTTTTCATAAAAGAAATCTGACTAATATCCCTGTATCCCTCCATGTGAAAGTTAAATAAATTTCTGAGTTGAGGAACTGGGACCCTAATGTAGAGAAACACAAAAAATTAGAGATGAAAAAGATGCAATTTCCTGCCCCCTCACCTAATCTGTCTCTCCTTTGTTTTACTATTTTCTTGCAAAAATTATATGTTTCTAACAAATGCCCCTTCAAAACCAAAATGTTACATTTGAGCTAACAACTGCAGCCAGGTAAAATTATTCTAAAATTACTGTTTGGTAAAATCCAGTCTTAATTTGAAGTGACCAAATTCAAGAAATCTTACACAAGCTTTACTGTTTTAATTTGTTGCCTAATGGTTAATCACAGTCACAACCCCCCCCCCCCCCAAAACAAAACAAAACAAACAAACAAAACACAAAAACCAATCAACCAAAAAAAAAAAACAACCAAAAAATCAAAAAAATCCCTGTATAATTTGTCACTTTAATTTATCTAGATTTAGCTCTTGTCTATTTGCTGTTATTGTGGCCTTCATCAGAATGAAAGGACCTCGGGCACCTGGGCCAGGTTGGCTGCCTTTGCTGAGACACGTGCAGTTTGAGTCTCAAAATGGCTGAAGGCATGTATTTTTGCAAACCCTAAATGACAACTAATGTAAAGGCTTACCAATTTTTATAAAGTAATTTCCATTTTGAAATTGTGGTTTCCTCTCCTTAAATGTGTAATACAAAACCTCACATACACACTATTAAATGTTTATATTAAGGCTATTTTATTTGAACATGTGAGAGGGAACTTCATGTTTTTTGCCACAGTTTAGCACATGGTATTGCCTTTGTGCCTTACCCTAGCAGTTACACAGTGAGTTAACTAGGCACTCCAGAGGGAGAGTGTATTCCATTATCTCATTTTTCCAGAAAATGACTTTGAGTGGTGGATGTAGGGAGATGAAGGTTTGGATGATAGGAGCAACAAGAATCTGTCTGTAGCCTCAGTGACATCTAGAAGAATCCAGAAAGGATCAGGGCATCTTAGAAAGCAGATCTGTATCCCAGTTTCAGATTTGACAGGAAGAAGGTGACTTCACTAGAGATCAAAAGAGACTGATGTGGGATTTGTTGCAACTCAGTGCTCCATTGAAAAACTGTAGGCAGAGACCATGCCAGATGGGAAGCACCAGCCCTACTCAAACACAGTGGACAGAGAGAGATTTATTAACCCATTTTACAGAGGTGAGTTTTCTCTGGTTAAAGGGTTACCAAGGTAGGTAATTGATATAACTAATGAAGCCTAGCTTTAGAAACTGGAGCCAGTAGCATATTCTGATACGCCAATTTTAAGTAAAAATGGCATGATTTCAGCTGACAGCTCTAGCTGAGCTGGAGACCCATTTTATTCAGTGACAGAAAATACCTGGTCCGTTCAGTCCTCCTTCTTCTTCAGCATACTACAAAAAAATCATGTAATTCATAAGCTGCCTTTTATGCAGACTGATGATTTTATACAAATGTCAAATTGCATCTGGGCTCCTACCAAGCTCTGTGGAACCATGTAGAAACATTGCAATCTGATGGTAATCACCCATCAAAATAATTTTCTGATTGCTCTTGATTGTATAATTTCTTTTCTCCCTGTTTGCCAGATTTTCTCTTGAGCCAGATATGCTTTTAATCCAAATTGCCCTCTTTCTTGTCACTGCAGAACTTGCTTGACTGTAAAGAAAGAACAAGAAAACAGATTTGCAGCTGTGCACAAGAACTACTCAGACATGGCAAGAGAGGTGCCATCTGCTGCTCTGGGTCCACTAGGGCACAGTTCGCCTCAGAACTCTCACAAAGCAGGTGTGTATACTGGTAAGAGTATAGGAAAGTTCTATTACCCAGAAGTACCTTATGTTTCCATTTATTGATGGAATATTTCCACATATTCATGTTGTCTTTGAATTATGGATAAAAAATTTAGGCAGCTTTTAGTCATATGGGGCAACTGTTTTATCTTCCTAAGCATGCATACATAGAGGTTTTATAATCAACTACTAACCACCTAAGGCTGGCCATTTATTTCCTTCCAAATCTCTGAATATGAACAGTATTTGTTTATCTTACATGACACACACCACTTAGGAATCTGATGTCAGATTATCAGTGTGCAATTTTGGCCAGTGAAATGATTTTCCACTGTGTCCATGTAGGTCACTGTTATTGATTAAAAAAAAAAAAAAATGATAGAAAATGAATTAAGGTAAAACAAAGATAGTATCTCTGAAACTTGGTAAGTTGTTAGGACAAATTAAAAAAAAATAGATGGGAAAGATACTGAAGATGGGAAAGTGTGAAGCATGGGGACTATCTATAGGGAGAGGGAGGAGGCAAGGAAAAAAACATGATGATAGTTAAGACAGCATAGCTGATCCTCAAAGACCAGGATGGATAAGAAGTGTTAAACTACAAAAAGCTTGAAGAGTGAGTATATTAGCTGGTTAAAAACTCCTTCATGTATCTCCACACATTAATTTATTTGTTAATTTCTAACTTTGACAGGGAATCTTAGCAATCATTCCTGCCACTGAAGTAAAATATAAGACTATCAGAAAAATTTATTTTATAATTTGGAGGTTCCTTCAAATCTTCGTAAGGTTTGGTTGCTCATTACTAAGAAAATTCCATCTTCTCAAGTTAAAAATAAAAGACTTGAGAAAGTAAGAGTTACAGCTAGTTGAGAAGACTGCAACTTTCACTGAGGTTCCAAGAATAAAGGGAAAATTGTTCATTAATATCCTTGGCATAGTGGTGGTGGAGAAATTACTCTCTAAATTGAGAGGAGAGAATAGAATTGAGATTTGTAATGGTACTAATATTTACCAATAACTTACACTGGAGAAGAAGAGAATAGTTCTAGACCATGAATGTAAACAAAATATAAATAATTCTTATCAAACTACTCCAGTTATTTCACTCCATTGGAAAGCAGAGGGGTATTTTCAAAACAAGGATAGGATATTGGAGGGTTTGATAAGAAATCCAGAAAATTGAGACTATTTTACACGTTTGAAAATGTTATACCACTATATATTTTTTTATATTTAACAAAATCCATAAACCATTGCAGGCTATAACCGATGAATCAAACTATTTTAGAAGCTATGCAAAACTTATACAACAAAACACGGAACCTTTTGTCCTTAAGGAATGAGGTACATGTACACCTTTCTCTGAGTCTGATTATTCACAGCCTTCTGCCTGTGCAGTCCTTTGCAGCTGTGTGAGGTTGGTGTTAAAATGATCTTCTCATCCAGTGACATTTCCTGTAGACTTCACACTCTGTCCAATGCCTGTAGGACCAGGCAATTGATAAAACCCCAGAAAAGTCCCTCTTTTCATTAAGGAATAAAATAAAAATACTGGGAAAAAAGGTGGTAAAGGCAAACATGGTGTTAGTTTATAGTGATTATATATATTTTATATATATTATATATATGGTGATGGAAGATATTTCCCTAGATGTTTGTACTGAGGACACAGAATACCTATTCCTGTGCTTTTGCAATCATAATAATATGGTCTCAACTCTCAGACTTTGTTCTTTGCCTGTTACTGCAAAACTGTATGTGAATAACAGTAATAATACCAGGCAACTTTATAGGAAAGGAAGTCAAACTTCACCTTTCTACTGCACAGTCCTTGATACATGTAATTCTGACGTGAACTTTAATTACTCTAACAGCTCCAGGTAGGTCAGAGCAGCCTGCATATGCACCCAAGAGATGGTTCACTTGAAGTACAGCTAATGGAGAAAAACACTCTTAACTACCCGCTCACTGCTATGCATGGACTGTACTTCCAGAGTTCTGCTTTCAGCTGGGAGGCAGGAAAGTTGCTTCTTCAAAGTCACAATTAGCTTCCTCTCTGATGAGAGCAGCTGGGGATATACAAATGCTGATGTGGTGGAAGGACCTTACCGAGTACAGATCAACCATATCTTCTGGGCTATGTGTTAAATCTTCATTAGCAGGGTAATGGGAACTTTGAAGAGCTTGCTTAATAATCCTCTTCTGCTACTTTATTTTTAAGACAGACAATTCTGAAAAAGCTCTGAATTTATCTCTTGAGCCATGAAGCTGAAATTCCACATTATTTATGTACAATTAATTTCCTTGGACTAATGACATCTTGACTAATTAGCACCACCACATTTTACATGAGTCTTAAGCTTATCTGAAATGCAGACATAACCACTGCGATCCACTTAGACAGGAAACTCCTCATAGTTAAAACAGGAGGAGCAACAGAGAAAGACAGATGAAATAGCACTTGAATATTTCCATCCCAGTGCACATCCTAATCTATCCTACCTGACAAAATGTCTTGTGCTATTAGCAAGTTCTTAAGGTAAAGTTACCCTGGAAGGGAGAACGTTAACCCCTCAAATTTGCTTCTAGGATTTCCAACTCATTATTCCCTAATATACATACGGGTAATTCGGAGGAATGGACTTAGCGTTGCCCATGTTGCTGCATCCTGTGCCTGTGGTTATGGCTCATCTCACTCGGAACAAAAAATGAAAACCAGACAAGGTGTCTGTTGTTTTCTGATGTTCAGTCAGGACAGGTTTAATTTACAAAGACGTGCTTAGCTGATACACTGCTTTGTTTCAGGATGTCAAAGCATATTCGCTTTTCTTATTTTAATCTGAAAAAATTTTTTATATAGAAAACTTAGAATCATAGAATCATAGAA